TGGGGTCGCAAAGCGTTGGACACGACTGAGTGACTGAACTGAACTGAACTGATACGTGGAATCTAAAAAGAAATGATACAGATGAACTTACAAAAGAGAAAGAGATTCCCAGACTTAGAGAACAAACTTATGGTTGCCAACAGTGGGGAGCGGGGAAGGATGTGAGGAAAGGTCAGGGAGTTTGGGATTAACATGTACACACTGCAATATTTAAAATGGATAACCAACAAGGACCTACTATATAGCAAAGGGAACTCTGCCCAGTGTTATGTAACAGCCTGGATGTGAGGGAAGTTTGGGGGAGAATGGATACATGTATATGTATGGCTGAGTCCCTTTGCCGTTCACCTGAAACTATCCCAACATTGTTAAGTCAATCAGCATGGTTGCACTATGCTTAGTCCCATCTGACTCTTTGCAACTCCATGGACTATAGACCGCCAGGTTCCTCTGTCCATGAAGATTCTCCAGGCAAGAATACTGGAGTGGGTTGCCATGCCCTTCTCCAGGGGATCTTCTGAACCCAAGGATCAAACCCAGGTCTCCCGCATTGCAGGTGAGTTCTTTACCAGCTGAGCCACCAGGGAAGCCCCAGAATACTGGAGTGGGTAGCCTATCCCTTCTCCAGGGGACCTGCCTGACCCAGGAATCAAACTGGGGTCTCCTGCATTGCAGGCGGGTCCTTACCAGCTGAGCTACCAGGAAAGCCCAATCATCTATACCCCAACACAAAATTAAAATGTTTTAAAAAAATTAAAATAATGGGAGGTTGAGTCTTAAGAACAGATGGTTTTGAAAGGAGTGGTAGGGACTTCCCTGGTGGTCTAGTGGTTAAGACTCCACACTTTCAGTGCAGGGACATGGGTTCAATCCCTGGTTGGGGAACTAAGATCCCACATGCTGCCTGGCCAAAATTTATTTTTAAAAAATAAAAATTTTTTTTAAAAAAGAAAGGAGTGGTAACTGGTGAAATCAATTTTTCTCCAAGGTAGTTTTACTTGCTTGATTATTACACAAACATAATATTGTGTTCCTAACCTTTAAAGGCATTCCTTAAACGGAATAAAGTCTTGTTTTCTCATGCGAACACTGGCATCTATCCCTGGGTGGGAGAATCGTTGGAATGAAGCATGCATATTTAACAATAGGTACAGCAATGTTTTTTAATTATAACTTTGAAGAGTTACTTTCAAATATAAATTGCTTTCTCTTCCTATTCCAGTAACATTTGAATTACCTATTTTGTTTTCGGCTCTCCACTATGTCTTACTTGGTTAATATCAACCAATGGGCCCAAAATCATCTAATTTAAAAGCAGAAGGCAGTGGTTGTATAAAAATTTGCCTTACACAGAGTAATCACTCAGGAAAAGTGTATTGAATTAATTTGCCGACTTCATAAACTGTTTTTCAGAGGGGCGGAGTGGGGATAGTTCGTTGTAAGCAAGTAGCCTCAGCTTACTGTGTAAGAAGTACATCAATGGGTCTCCTTAGCTGAAGAGCCATAAGACTACAGAAGGATCGACAAGCCAACTAATTCTGTCGCTGGGCTCTCAGAGCCAGCTTGAATAAAATTTTGGAGTAGTCCCTGAGATAGATCAGGAAAAAACAAATCAATTTTCATTTAGCACAATGTATTGTATAGAAGAGGCACTCAGTGAATGTTTGATGACTGTAATGGTGACAATAAACATGCTCCTTTGATCGCCTACAGCAGAAGTGCAGTGCTACTTCATTAGTTCATTTGTTAAGTGTTCTGGGTGCTGTGTGCTCAGTAAACACGTGTTAAGTGTTCTGGGTGCTGTGTGCTCAGTAAACACGTGTTAAGTGTTCTGGGTGCTGTGTGCTCAGTAAACACCTGTTAAGTGTTCTAGGCGCCGTGTGCTCAGTCACTCCGTCGTGTCCAATTCTTTGTGACCCCATGGGTTGTAGCCCGCTAGGCTCCTCTGTCCATGGAATTTTTTAGGCACCAACACTGGAGTGGATTGCCATTTCCTTCTCTAGGGGATCTTCCCCACGCAGGGATCAAACCCGTCTCTGCTGTGTCTTCTGCATTGGCAGATGGATTCTTTACCACGGTGCCACCTGGGAAGCCTATTCTAGGCACTAGGGACTCATAGTGAGCAAGCAAGACAAAATTCTTACTTTCCTGGAACTTTCTAGTTGGAATAGAGAAAAACTGGACAATAGATAAGTAAAATACATAGTAAATTAGTGGTAAGTGCTTAGGAGAAAAATAAAGCAGGAAGGGGGCATGACATGTTGAAGGTAAAGATGCAGATTTAGTGATGGGGAAAGGTGACTTAGTAAAGATATAAAGAAAGTGAAAGTGAGGGAAAAACATTCCAGAGTACAGAGATGGCATGCGCAAAGGCCCTGAGGCAGGATTTTCAAGAAACAGCAAAGATGCCAAGGTGGCTGGACATAAGATGCAAGAAACAGAGGTGGAAAGGGCAAACCCCCATACTTCACAGTTAGGACTCCATACATATAGGGCTCCATTTCCATCTATTGAAAGATGGGAAGCAATTAGGATTTTTACCAGAGTAGTGATGTAACCTAAGGCTCCCTCTGGTTTCTCTGTGGAGAATAGACAGTAGGAGAGAAAGATCAGGGCAGGAAGAGGAGCAATTTGTTTTGAAATGCAGAGTCTGAAATCTCTGGTTTTAACAAGCTCCCTAGGTGATTCTTACACACAATAAAATGTAAGGACTATAAATTGTCTAAGCAATTGAGACAAAAATTGATTTTACTATTTGATTATTTGATAATCACTAGTCCACTGCTTCATGTTGCCTGTGGAGAAACAGAGTCTAAGCCGTTGGACTAAATTCAGCTAACAACCTGTCAATTTGGCCATGTTATCTCTAAACAGTGCTTCAGAAAAACTCCAAACAGATCTTGGCTTCTTGCTTTGTGACACAGGGCACCCTTTGAGATTCCTACAGAGAAGAAAACTAGAGCTAATGCAGTCATGCAGCGTTGGTATATTTGAGAAAGTCGAAGAGTATGTCCTCCATAAACATAAGTTTCTGGATTCAGCTAAAGTGGGACATACGGGAAGGAAATTTCGAAATTATTTTGAAGAAAGCTTTTCACTTTCTTTTCAAATAGAAGTTAGTAAGCACCTGTGTCTTGTTCTAAATATATATATAATATATATAGTCTAAATTTTCGCTAAATATATTCAATATGTATATCAAAATAAAATTCATGATCACCACTTTTAAAATGGAATACCAGAGATGGGAATACCAGACCACCTTACCTGCCTCCTGAGAGACTGTATGCGGGTCAAGAAGCAACAGTTAGAACCAGACATGGAACAACAGACTGGTTCCAAATTGGGAAAGGAGTACATCAAGGCTGTATAGTGTCACCCTGCTTATTTAACTGATATGCAAAGTACATCATGCAAAATGTTGGGCTGGATGAAGTGCAAGCTGGAATCAAGATTGCCAGGAGAAATATCAATAACCTCAGATACGCAGATGACACCACACCCTTAGGGCAGAAAAAGGAAGAACTAAAGAGCCTCTTGATGCAACTGAAAGAGGAGAGTGAAAAAGCTGGCTTAAAACTCAACATTCAAAAAACTAAGATCATGACATACAGTCCCATCACTTTATGGCAAATAGATGGGGGAAAAATGGAAACAGTGACAGACTATTTTTTGGGGCTCCAGAATCACTGCAGATGGTGACTTCAGCCATGAAATTAAAAGACGCTTGCTCCTTGGAAGAAAAGCTATGACCAACCTAGACAACACATTAAAAAGCTGAGACATTACTTTGCCAACAAAGGTCCGTTTCCAGTAGTCATGTATGGATGTGAGAGTTGGACCATAAAGAAAGCTGAGCACTGAAAAATTGATGCTTTTGAACTGTGTTGTTTGAGAAGACTCTTGCGAGTCCCTTGGAATGCAAGGAGATCCAACCAGTCCATCCTAAAGGAAATCAGTCCTAAATGTTCATTGGAAGGACTGATGCTGAAGCTGAAGCTCCAATACTTTGGCCACCTGATGAACTGACTCATTTGAAAAGACCCTTATGCTGGGAAAGATTGAAGGCAGGAGAAGAAGGGGTTGACAGAGGATGAGATGGTTGGATGCCATCACTGAGTGCATGGACATGAGTTTGAGCAAGCTCCAGGAGTTGGTGATGGACAGGGAGGCCTGACATGCTGCAATCTATGGGGTCACAAAGAGTCGGACACAACTGAGCAACTGAACTGACTGAACTGACTTTTGAAAGACACTAATATAAATTTGTATTCACAAAAATTTTACGAGTTCTTTCTGATTGTTTTATAATAATAATGATTAGCATGTATTATACTTTATAATTAAGATAAAATGAGACTCAATTCCAAAAACCTTATGCTTTAACAATTCTAATTTATGGTTGCACTACATACACAAATATACACATACATACACATACCTATAGTGCTTAACTAGTTTGTGATCTATTCAAGAACAAAGACTGTCTTTTATTTATTTTTTAATTTCTTTTATATGTCTCTGAATTCTGCACACGGTGGGCACACAGGTAATGACTAACTGACCACTGACCAATCAGTTTAGAGCAATGCAACACTGAGGATTAATTATCAGATATTTTGTTCCTCTGTTTATTTAACTTCTTTGGCTCCATCAAAAAACAAAATTTAAAAATGTCAAGAGGACACAACCTTTATAATTGAGGGACACCTAAATAAATTAAAGTGAATTTATTAGATCAATGTGTTATTTTTCATGAGAACATTTACATCCTGCTGCTATTTTTTCCTTGAGCACAATCTTTCCTTGAGCACAAACCATCATAATCTTGAGGTGTTTCGTCATTAAGACGTAATTCAACATAAATTTTTATAAAGACACATAATAAACTGAATTTTCAAAAAGCATTCATTTTTAAGTGTATAATCTGCTGCCCAGGCATAGGTTATTACTTTGAACAGAGCACAGGTAATTGGTTGCAAATAATGGCTACTGATTACCTTCTTGAGTGGAAACAGCCTCTAGGTGTTGAAGTTTAAGGCCAGTGTCTAATCTTTGAGGCTTTGTATACAGAAATAAGTAGCAAAGAACACAGACGCTGATGACAAAGGCAAGTAAAACAAGGGCAGCAATTCCCAATCCGATCAGGGCACCAATGCTGAGGAAAACAGAAAAAACATTGTGACTGTCATACAAACTGGTTTGCACATAAACTAAAGATTTAAATATTGTTAGTTCTTGTTTCAGTCATCCATAACCAAAGTATATTTTACTATAAACAGCATATGATTGAGATCCAAAGCTCACCTTTTTCTACCATCAAATTCTTACTGTACTCTATACATTTGTATGTTAATATTACTATAGAATACCACGTGAATTCATATTACAGGTAAAAGGTCACACAATTCTCTAGGGATGGTTCAAGAACATCTCAATCCAATAAACCTCTATTATTAATGTACGTTAGGGGAAAGATTAGGTTCACTAATAAAAGATAAATAGAAAAAAATCTGTATGTGTTTAGTAGCTCAGTCATATCTGACTGTGACCCCATGAAATGTAGTCTTCCAGGCTCCTCTGTCCATGGAATTTGCCAGGCAAGAATACTGGAGTTGGTAGCATTCTCTTCTCTAGGGGATCTTCCCGACCCAGAGATTTCCTGCCCTGCAGGTGGATTTTTTACCATCTGAGCCACCAGGGATCTACCTCTGCAAAAATACTGAAACAAATGCTTGCCAGAAGTGTAGAACTTTCATTTTGGAGATGTGTATGGGAGTTATCATGTATTAATATACAAAACCATAACTATTACAAGAGAGAAGAAGAAAGTTTAATTAAAGGAAAGTAATATTTATGAAATTTATATAAAGTTCATGTTCAGTCTTAAGCTTTCCTTTCTAAAAGAACATAACACCAATGACTTCAAGCATTAAAGAAGAAATCATTGTACTTTTCTCTAAAAATGCATTGCACATCTGATATTTGCTCAGCACTCACTTTATAATCATTCCTCCTGATACAGTTATGTCTAAGGCTAATCATTTGAGAAATAACATAGTTTTCACAAACCTGTGAACTTAATATTTTCAAATGGTAAAAGAAGCTTGGAAAAAAAGAAAGTTATCTTGAAAGACTAATATATAAACACATGTACTTTCATGAGCCCTTTGTGTGTGGGGGTGTGAAAAGACATAAAATTAGATTTTAACTGCTCAAGAGCAGATACTTCTGTTGACTTTCCCATAGTGATCTGCACACTTAAAAGTGTTTAATAGAGTATTTAGCTTGCAGTTAATGTTTCATAAATGGAAGTAAATGATAAGTGACTGATGATTGATCCGTTTGTAGTCACTGAAAAGTAACAATCATTGGACTAGTCATTGAAAGGTAATGATCTTTTTCTTCATTATCTTCCTGGCTTCCTTTCAGCTTCTGCTATTTCCCAGTGATTAGGGCACTAACAAATTTGACTTGTTCCAAAAGGGAGGGAAGGGAGAATTTGACCAGGGATACTAGGTATGTTCCTGCTTTGAGAAGAAGAACAGAATTGAAAGTGAAGGGCTAAATTCATCCCACTATGCTTGATGTTAGAAGATAAAGTCTCTTTGCCACTTAGAGGTTGTTTGCCTTCTGAGCCAAAGACATGGAGTCAGATTTCAAAAGATTTCTGTGCTTGTCTATTGCTAATCAGCCCAGTTCCCTTAGCCCTGCACACAAGTGTAGGCTAGGTTATTTTCTGGTTAGAGTCAGTATAGAAAGTGAAGTCGCTCAGTTGTGTCCAACTCTTCGCGACCACATGGACTATAGCCTACCAGGCTTCTCCGTCCATGGGATTTTCCAGGCAAGAGTACTGGAGTGGGTTGCCATTTCCTTCTCCAGGGGATCTTCCTGACCCAGGGATCGAACCCGGGTCTTCCACACTGCAGGCAGACGCTTTACCTTCTGAGTCACCAATGAGAGGCAGAGTCAGTATACAGTTATATTGGAATTTGCCCTCACTTGGTGCCCTCTCTTTCAAGGGGTAGATTCCCTGCTTCTGGCAGCTACTCTTTCATGCTTGTTTGCACCAAAGCTGACTTTTGTAAATTCTATGTGTCAGGAAGGGCTAGGACTCTACACAGACATATGGGAACATAAGCCACTTAATTATTTGCTTCAGAAGGCAGCTAGGAGGCCAGACATCTGGCAAGATTTCTGAAACGAGAACCCAGTTATTAAAAACATCTTCAAAGTGAAAAAGTGATTGTCAATTAAAAGTAAAATCATCAACTTAACTGAATTCAAGGACATTGTATGGGCTTTACATGTATTAATACACAATTTAAAAACCAGATCACATGACTTGAAGGAAAAATAAAAACAGCATGGCACTTCTTTCTATTATAAAAAGATATTCTTCATAATCCTAACAAACTGTTTCAGTGTCATAGTTCTACTTTCTAGAAATGTTGCTTTATGCATGCAAAACTCCAGATAAAGATGCAGCTCTGTGAATCTCCTAAAATATTCATTTCAATAAATAACTTATTGAACTCGAGTGTAGCCTTGTGCAGCACGTGTTATTTTCCTAGGTCCTGAAGAAAGTTTCCAAAGGGAACCCTTAGATGTTAGGGATTTATTTATAAGAGGAGAAGGGATGCGAGTGGGGCAGAGAAAAGGGAGAATTATCTTTCCTTCCCAGCACCACAGGGCAGTTTGCTTTTCAATCCATGAGAAGAGATCTGTAGCTGCCATCACATTAATGAATTCTCCGACAACTTCATTTACTTGGAGGTACCACACCTGAACCTCTCTGCAGCAGTTACAGAATCTCAGAACAGACGCTAGTGACATTAGGGAAATTTTTCATAGTTGGACTGTTTTAAATTAGGGGAGACAGCAAAGAATATGAGGGAACTGAAGCTCTAAATGTTTACCTCCCCATTGTGTTCTCAGAGCTTGATAACTAAAGAAGAACCCCAGGATTACATTGCCAACTGATGCCATCAGTTGAAATGATTTTTGTATTTCCCAGCAACTGAGCTGCATTGTCAGTGCTGAAATGAAGACTCCAGCAAGCTATTCATTCTTTTGTGCCCTCATAAACCTTTGCAAGGTTTTCTATCCTCTGCTGCTTGTCACTCTTGAACTATTCAGGGATCTGAAAATCCCAGGCACTTTTCCAATTGAGTCTGACTTAAGAGTTGACAGCCTCTTCTCAGAGGTGCTGCCACCCTATTAACACCTCCAAGGACTCAGAGCTGGGTTACTATGTCACTTTCCAAAAGGCCAGATAATATCCCAGTGCAGTACAGATTTCTTCCCCAAGTAGTAAGGATAAGCTGTCATTATTTTCTGAGATACTGCCTATTAGGGCACAACCCTACGTTGTAGTTGAACTTGGTAAGTAGGTATTCCTTTTGAGATCTTTCAGAAGAATTAGTGTGAGATCAACGGAAAGGGCAAATTATAAAGCCCTGTCGCCTGTGCGCGCCCAAATACACACTCACACACACACTTTTTTTTTTTTTAAGGATACAGCAAATTCCTTCTCAGCCACAAAGAGGCTTAAAATACTCAGATCCGTGGTTAACGCCTTAAAATGAGTCTCAAAAGAGCCCCTTTCCATTCAAATGCACCAAATACTCAAATCAAAAAGAGAATGAAACCCTCCTGAAGTTACCTGTGAGTCTGTCTGTGCCCGGCAGAGCCGCGGGCTTGGGACTGGTCCCCGGGCGAGGAGGGAGCGGAGCAGAGCAGTCTGCCCGGTTGCACCCAGGGCGAGTCGCCTGCGCTCCTCCCGCGCGTGCCTGGCCCTGGTCCCCGGGCGGTTTCACAACTCTAGAACCACAGCGCGACCTTCACCCGGACGGCGGTGGCCACCAACGGGTTCTCGGCGGGGCCCTCCCCCGCCCTTGGGGGCTCCTATCCCCCGCACCCCGCGGAGGGATCCGAGCGTGTCGCGAGGTCGCGTGGCCAGCCTGGTAGCCTCCCCAGACCCCCGGCCGCCAGCCCCCGGCCCTGCCCACCTGAGGCTCCACATGTAGCTGTGCTTGTAGGGGAAGTAGCTGCCCGGCTCGCTGCAGCAGTACTTGAGGTCGGCGAAGCCGCAGCAGTAGACGAGGGTGGCCCCCTCGCCGCGCCGGGGGCAGTGGAAGGGCTCCACGAAGCTGTGGTTGAGGCTGTAGTAGCCGGAGCACACCCGACTGGCCTCGCTCATCGCGGGCGGCTGCGGGCCAGGGGTTCACGAAGCCCCGATCTGCCCTGGCTGCACACGTCCCACCCAGCCAGGCCGGCAGACCCCTCTGGCCGGGCTCACCTCCTGCGATCCGGAGCTGACTGCCTGGGCGGTCAGCCGTCGCGCGCCTCTTCTGCTCGCTCGCCACCCCCTGTCCACATGGTGTCTGGTCGCTTTACTGTCGCTTCTCCCTCCCGCTACTGAGCGGCTCTCTTATCTGCCGATCTCCGGCCCTGTACATTTTCTCCGTCTCCCTTCGTCTGCCTGCTCACTTATCTCCACTTTCCCTCAATTCATGGAGCCGACCCCGCTCCATACCAGCAAGAGATTGCTGCCGAAAGAAGCCGGGAGGGCTGGGACCGGTTTGCCATCCAGACAGATGCGGCCAAAGGTGTGATTCTGTTTGCCCAGGGTCAGGGCAGATGGGTTCTGGGCCAACAGAGCGGGGTAGAGGGCGCATCAGGGGGCGCTGAACTACCGTGAGGGGCTGTCGACTAGGTCCCCTTCTTCTTTCAGAAGTATGTGTAAGACATTAAAACCTACCAACTTAAATATCAAGGGCAAGGGACTTCCTTGTGGTCCAGTGGTTGAGAATCCCGCTTTCAATGCAGGGCTCATCCTGCATGGAAAACACTGGAAACAGTTGGAACTAAGACTCCCCATGGGCCTGCGTCCTCAGGCACTCGGTCGTATCCGAGGCTTTGCGACCCCATGGACTGTAGCCCACCAGGCTCCTCTGTCCCTGGGAGTCTCCAGAGCAAGAACAGTGGAGTAGCTTGCCCTTTCCTTCTCCAGGAGATCTTCCCGACCCCCAGATCGAACCTGTGGTCTCTTAGGCCTCCTGCGTCGGCGGACAGGTTCTTTCCCACTAGCGGCACCTGGGAAGCCCTAGATCCCGATTGCCACGAGGCAAATAAGCCCAAGCACCGCAACCACTGAGCTTTCTGTAGTAAGTTAAACTGGAAAACGAAGGAAAGCAAGAGATTGAGGTAAAGAAACTGAGGACTTTTTACAGAGGCGGGCAGAAAGAGGAGGCAAAGGAAATAGGGAGAAAGGGAGAAAATTCATCCTTTTAAAGCATTGCAGACATTTCTCTTCTCTTTTTGTTTGGTATTCTCATTTTAGTGATTCATTTGTTGACCAAGATTTTAAAAATAACAGTAGTAATGGAGGCTTTTGTAATAAGTCAAACAATACTTTGATGTGTAAAAAAGAGAATATCAATAGCCTTAAAATGGGAGAGGAGGCGACTATTCATAGAATTGCTGAGATAGGACATTGTTCCTTCCTCTTCATTTTCCATTTATTTCCTTCAACTGAGGGTTGATCGGGCACCAGAATCGTGAGTTTTATCCTGTTGAATGCTGTATATTTTTGTATTCCCAGAAGTATTCTTGAGCTTTGCTCTTTGATGGAGTTAAATTACTTGGAAATGTTACTGGCTCCAGGACCCCTTCCAGGGCCTGAGAACTGGCTCTTGTCTAACACTTGGAAATGAATTTTCCATGCAGACATACATACCAGCAAAGCAAGAGACTTTATTCAACCAGGCAGAGAGTGGTAGGGTAAAGGAACCCAGGAGAACTGCTCTGCCACATGGCTCACAATCTCGGGGTTTATGGTAATAGGGGCTTCCCTGGTGGTTCAGAGGTTAAAGCGTCTGCCTGCAATGCTAGAGATGTGGGTTCGATCCCTGGATTGGGAAGATCCCCTGGAGAAGGAAATGGCAACCCACTCCAGTACTCTTGCCTGGAGAACCCCATGGACGGAGGAGCCTGGTAGGCTACAGTCCATGGGGTCGAAAAGAGTCGGACACGACTGAGCGACTTCATTTATGGTAATAGGGTTAGCTTTCTTGTCTCTGGTCAACCATCTTACTTGTACCCATAGTTGGTCCAACTCAAGGCCCTTCCTGACGGTGTGCGCATCTCTGAGCCAAGATGGATTCCAGCCTGAGGGTTTCTGGGAGGTTGACAGGACATATTATGTCCTGTCCTTTCTCCTCTTGGCCCCTCCCACATTCTCCCAGTTAGTTTTCAGTGCAACACTGTGTTCCTTATTGGGACCACCTGTTGTGAGACAACTCATGTCAGTGGTTATTATCATGCCTGGCCAAGACAGGCTGCTTCAGTCCACGATTCCCTAACAGAAACAATTGGATTTTTTTCAAGTTTGATTTTAAACTTTACTAGGCAGTGCCAGAGCAGACTCGAGGACTAAACTGATGATTCTCTTCTTGTTGCAGAAAAAGGGGGTTAAGGTGGATGGTCATGTCCCAGGTCTCGGGTGAGCCCACGGGACAGGCTGCCAAGTGAAGGTCCTTGGCTTTGCGCAGGAGGGAATTCAAGAGCGTGCCATAGGAAAGTGAAAGAAGGTTGATTTAGAGACACACATCCCACAGACAGAATGCGACTCCTCTCAAAAGGCAAGAGTGGCCCTGGAGCCTGGGGTCATCTCAGAAGTTGAGAGCAGTCATTTTAGATGGACTTGAACAAGGGCTCGGACCTGATCCAAGCTAGCCAGTTGGGTTCTCACTCCTGAAATTGAGGTTCTGCTGTGTGGACAGGGTGGACTAACGGTGCCACCTGCCTAACAGTAAATAAAGGAGGTTGCTACTATCAGGCCATCAGCTTTCACAGCCAACATTGGGCCCTGAGGGAAGGCAGGAAAGAAACAGAATGCCCTGCCATCAAGCAGTTAGCCACTGCAGTCACCCCACGGCTGCGCCCTGGGAGACTCAGGATGGAAAACTCAGGATACTGGTCCTAGATAACTGAGGTGCATATCAAAGGGATGCCTTCAATGAGCTCTAGACCTTTGCATCCTCCCAAACATAGAAAAGTGCTAGCTTGAGATGTCTGGTTTTTTTAATTAACAGTCCTCTTTTGACATTCCAACTACCTGGTTTTGTTACAAAACTCCTATATAACCTGGCTCCTCCCTTACCTCTTTAAAGCAGTCCCTAAGAACAATCCAAGAGTCTCGTCTCCCTGGCTTGAAGTCCTCAGAAAACCTGCTGAATAAAACATAACTCTCAACTTGCAGGTTGTGCAGCTTTTTCAGTCGGCAACAGGAAGTCAAAAGAAGCTAGTGTACAGGCAAGAGGAAAAAGAAGCACGCAGGAGCAGCAAAGAATGGTGGAAGCGGTACTGATGGCTTTGTAATTCTCGTTCAAGTCCTTTCCTGAGACCTGTGGCATTCCAACCATTGGTTTCATTTTTTGTTTTTTGTTTGTTTTTACTCCTTAAAGCCCCATTTTCCGGCTTAAGTGGATTCTGTTACCTGCAAGGAAAGGGTTCTAACTCAAACGGCACATCTCCAGGCAAAGGTGAAAGGGAGAGGGCAGTTGAAAAGGAAAAAGTTATTTGATCAGTGGAGCATATTCCCTTGAAAAGGGGAGCAATCGTCCACACAAGTGGATGCTGCTTCTTGTTGTGTGAGTGGAGAAGAAATTTTGAGGTGGAAAGGAAGGAAATTTTTCTGAACACTGATAACTGTCTCAATACAATGCACAAAAATCTGCCTGGAGCATGAGATGACGAGGTGAAATTTGACTGCTTGAGAGAAGGGAAAAGTGTGAGAGTAAACACTGGAAGCCATCCTGGGTGACAGGTAGAGTGGGACAGAAGGGTTGGGTGCGTTAGGGGCCCAGTTAATGGTTAAAAAATCACAGCTTGCTGGTGAAACCAATTTGTGGGTTCATGAGATTTCCTCCAAAAATGAATGTTCAATTTGCTTAGGAACAGGAACCAAGCGATGGACAGCAGGATTTGTCAGGATGGTTCCCTAGAGCTGTGCTCTGGCTCATCACCGCCTCTGCAATCACAGCCGGTACCTTAGCCCTCTCCATCCCTCCAAATACACACAGAAGCTCACACCGCGGAAGGCATGCCCAAACTGCTAGTCTCTCCCAAGCTTAGAATACATTGAGGCCTCTAAAGTTCCAGTAGGCAAAGGGACATTTTAATACAGGAAGCTCAAAACTGTGTCAAGACTATGGCTCTCTAAACTAAAAGGTCCTACTGTGTAGCATAGAGAATTATACTCAATATCCTATGATAAACCATAATGGAAAAAAATATGAAAAAGAATATAGATACAAATGTAGGTATGTATAACTAAAGGAGCTTCCCAGGTGGTGCTAGTGGTAAAGAAAGTGAAAGTGAAGTTGCTCAGTCATGTCCGACTCTTTGTGACCCCATGGACTGTAGACCACCAGGCTCCTCAGTCCATGGAATTTCCCAGGCAAGAGTACTGGGGTGGGTTGCCATTTCCATCTCCAGGGGATCTTCCCGACCCAGGGATCGAACCCCGGTCTCCCTCACTGCAGGCAGACACTATACCGTGTGAGCCAGAACCCACCTGCCAATACAGGAGACGTAAGAGACATGGATTCAAATCCTGGGTCAGAAAGATATCCTGGAGGAGAGCACGGCAACGGACTCCAGTATTCTTGCCTGGAGAATCCCATGGACAGAGGAGCCTGTGGGCTACAGTCTATAGGGTTGGAAAGAGTTGGACACAACTGAAGCAACTTAGCATGCATGCACACATGTATAACTAAATCACTTTGCTGTAATGCAGAAATTAATGCAACACTGCAAATCAAGTTTTACTTCAATAAAGTAAATTTTTTTTTAAAAGTCTGTGGGTCTCAATAATACCAGTTCAGAAGATGCATATCCCTTGCTTGACTTGTCTGCTGTGTAATCCTGTGTGAACCAATCCCCAGCTCTCTGCCTCCAGGCATGAGGGGCTCTGGCAAGGAGTAGATAGGGCTGGCTGGGCACCAAAAGATAGCCATACATTACATATTTTTTTTTAAAAGTTTCATTCTATAAAAAAAAATTTTTTTTTTGATTGCACCGCATGGCTTGCAGGATATTAGTCCCCCTACCAGGAATTGTGTGCAGTAGAAGTGCAGTCCTAACCACTGGACCACCAGGGAATTCCCACTTTAATTTCCTTGTATATCACTGCTT